TATCTCTGTCAAGGCCGGGTAGCTGGCTATGGCTGTGAACTCCTGTTTTTCTGATTCCTGCAGAATGGCGTTTCTAAGGCCAAGTTATTGGGGGGGGCATAACATCGGCCCAACGCCCCATATCCTCATAATGGAGCGGGGGTCTTTCATATATATATACACAAACACACACATACATGCAGGCAAAATGCACATACACATAAAATAAATAAATTTAAAAAAAAGAAGAACTGGATTTTCAAGCCATAGAGCTGGCTCACTGGGTAAAGATGCTTGCAGCCAAACGTGACTTGAGTTTGACTCCCCAGAGCCCATGTAGTGGAAGGAGAGAACAGACTCCAGAAAATTGTTCTCTGATATCCACAAGCCCTTGCACACCTATAAACAAATAAATAAATAATATTTTTAAAGATTTAAAAACTGAGTTTGGAATTTATTTGTTAAAGGGTCTTAATAAGGGCAAGCACAAGAAAAGGATTTGAAGGGTTGGGAGATAGTATTAGTGAAATGATGAGTGTAAGGGAAAGTCAGCAGGAAAGGCTGGCCTCATGACCAGAAGTTCTTCCAGCAGAGCCTAATTGAGCCCTCCTCTCCCATAAGTCAGCCTATGAGTTCAAACCTCGGTAACAAGAAAGGTTGTGATTTCTAAAAGAAGATACAGTGAGAACAAGAGATGCATCCAGTTTATTTAGTAGTTTCTTCTGAACAGACAAAAAATAAACCAAAAATACCTCACACATCTTGTTTCTAAATACATTTGACCTGGTTTAGTTTTTAATGCAGTGCGTAGAAAAATCATCCCTAGATATTCCTGCTTCAGTAGCATTGGCCAATAGTGGGCCTGGAAGCCCCGATAACTGTACAGCCTAGGTAATGTGTTATTTTTGCAAAGAAACTAAGTTAGCTAGCAGGGGTAAAGGTTTGCGGTAGCAGCCATGGAGAAGGTGCAATGTTCCTGGACAGTAGCTACACTATGACTGCTTTTCTTTCTCTGCTGACCTCAGGGAAACCCCTGCATAGTTTTACTAGCTGGAGTGGGTTTCAGGAAGGGGGGAGGGAGCAGTAGGGAGCAGCAGGAATGAAGTGAAACACGGCTTAGTGGTTTCAGAAGCCTCCCCTAGAACTGTATCATCCTGTAGGGAAGATGAAAAATGCATTCTTCATAGAGGAGCCTCCAAGCTAAAGGCTTCCATCTGTCTCCCCACCAGGACTGTAACTGTGATATACACAGCACCCTCTTTAGAATGTTTGTGCATAGGCTCGGGCCTCTGTCTTGGGAGTGTCTTGAGCTCAACAGCTCATCAGTGCTGGCATTTGTATTCTAGTGGTAAGTTTTCCACTTACTGTTTCCCAAATACCGAATTTTCAGCGTCTCGGTTTTTAATTATGAGGCCTAGAGCTAGAGTTCCTCCCCTGGTGGAAGAAGGGGAAATACACAGAGTGTACTTCAGGAGAGGAAAATTGCTGGCTGGCTTGCTTGCTTGCTTGCTTGCTTGCTTGCTTGCTTGCTTGCTTGCTTGCTTGCTTGCTTTAGAAGTTATTCAGTGGCATGTTATTGCCGGGGATAGGTAAAACAGTGTGAGTGGTAGGTTCTCCTAGATCTTTGTGGGTAGGGCATTTCCTTGCCCCATTTCCTCCTGGCTCCTCTCTTGTCCTATCAGCACAGGTCCATCAGACCTCAATGGGTGCTCCTTTATTTATGAAAGGGACAGGACTGGCCCTCCCATTTCCATCAATCAAACTTAAAACCATCAGCTACTCTCACTGCTCTGCTGACCATAACACAGAAAATCCAGGTATCCTACTCCATAAAACCAAGGCAAGATATTTGTCCCTTTGCTAAAGTCTGAGTACTTCCTTCTGTACATTCCATATATTTGGGTATATGTACATCTATATACATATCTCTCAATATATTATCTCTGTTTTTCTCAGATAAACATATATATCATATCCCAATTTCCCAAGTTTCCACCCTTTTCTGTGTCAGTCATAAGTAAGACTCTGGGGTTCATCACTAGGTCCCTTAGCCTCATCTTTCTCATTTTCACACTCTAGATATCCCTCCCCATGGGTTGTTTTGTCCACCTGAAATCTCCCACCCCACCTAAAATCCTCACCTGTTACCCTCCTGACGTTCCAAATCTACAGCTGCTACAGACTGGGAACCCATTTCTCATCAGCCCCAGCTGCTAGGAAAGCTTGTCCTATACCCTGAAAAGGGATTCCAGGTCAGGGGACCCAGGCTGTGATCCGAAGAACCACTTAGAATTGGGGGTGGGGGTGGTTGCATGCAGAGCACTGGGCTTCTGGGAGAAGGGTGCCACTCTGAATTAACAGGGCGGCATGGTTTTAAAGTGCAGCTTAGGGGAAAAGCCTGGGGTTGCAGAGGAAGTTCAAAAAGGGTTAAGGCAGAAAGTGTTCTCTTCTCTCGTTGTTATCCAAGAATCTGAGGAGAGCTGGGCCTTAGGCAAGGGGCTGGGAAGAGAGTAATTCCTTCAGGGGAGAAGCAGCACTGTGCAGAAGAAACCAGACAGAGGAAAAATTGCCAGTGGGTGAGAAGAGACACACGCAGTACACTTGGTCCTTGCACACCGACCAGCACGGGGTAAGTACAGCGTTGGGTGTATTTGTAACCACGGAAGCTGGCTCTTCGCCTGCTGCTCTTTGTCTCAGACGTTCAGGTTCTTCTGGTTCTCGTCTTGATGGGAGTTTAAGGACAGTGGAGAGTTTTTACAGTAAGAAGAAGCTGAGCGAAGGCTCTTCATTTTCAAGCCACCGTTAATTGAGTTCAAGGAAAGACCACTGTTAAGAGGACCGTGCACAGCTGAGGTGTGTTCAGCCTCAGGACCTCCTGGTTTCTCCTCAAGGCTTTGCACAGATGCGTGTATACATTCTGTGGAAGTGTGTAGCTTGTCATCATTTGTCAAGTCCACCCTAAATCAACAATTATGTCATCCCTGCTGGCATTCCTGCTAAACCACCTTGTGGGGGTTCCTGTGTACCTAAGTGGAGCCAGAACTCGCTTGTGCTTTGGGCTTTAGAACAGGACCTGGTGCTGATGATGCCCTTCCCTGACCCTGGCCACGGTCCTCACCAGAGAAGCAGGAATGGCCTGGGTCTGATCTTGTCTTTTTAACTTGCCTGAAACTGGCCCGTTGGCAGAGTAGAGGTGACCCTGACTTTCATCATTGTATGCCGTGTCAGAATGGCTGAGATCAGAATGTAAGTTCCTCCCCTCTCCTCATCGCCTCATAAAAGAGCTGGCACTTTTCAGAAGGGCACAGGAGATGTAACAAAATAGTGGCTGTCAGCCCGAGCTCTGCTTCAGTCCAAACCTTAACAAAAACATCACAAATTCCCAGAGGCTCTGCATAGCAATCTGCAAATCTGAGAAGTCAGTTCAACTTTCCTGGGGAATCTGTGCCCTGTGACGTGTGTGTGTGTGTGTGTGTGTGTGTGTGTGTGTGTGTGTGTGTGTGTGTGACTAGTTTTAATGGATCGGTGTTAAGAAAGGAAATGACTGTGTTTCCCTGTCATTCTTCAAAAGCTTGGGTGAAGGGGTGAAGGGTCTGGGATGGATAGGAAAGGAAGAAGGGGAGCCCTGTACAGTGTAATCTGGAGTGGTTTTAGATATTGTCATGGGTCCTGAGCGCTGGACTTAGAGAGCATTGGCGGCAGGGCATAGTGGCTCACACCTTAATCCCAGCACTCGGGAAACAGAGGCAAGTGGATTTCTGTGAGTTCCAGGCCAGCCAGGTCTACAGAGTGAGTTCAAGGACAGCCAGAGCTACATAGTGAGGCCCTGTCTCAAAAAATATTTTGAGAGAGAGAGAGAGAGAGAGAGAGAGAGAGAGAGAGAGAGAGAGAGCGCTAGCTCATTGGCTAAGGTTTTCCCATTCACAGGACACAGTAAAAGAAATCTTTTCAGGACAGGGCCAGAGTTTTGGACAATAGTTCTAAAACTGACTTCCTCAGAACCCAGAATGGGTGCAGGAGGGGTGGTGGCTGTTGACGTTTCTCAGGTCAGCCCCAATTCTGTGGGAACAGAGGCTGAGGGAGAACTGAGAATCCTGAGAAGGTCCACTTGAGAACTGGGAAGGGGAAACGAGCCGGTGAGCAAAAGTCTAGGTTATGTCAGGAGTTACCAGCTGAAATGAAATACACCATGGCAAACCCTGGCTTCTTTCTTCAGGATTTGGTAGAGAGCCCCGGGAAAACTGATTTCAGCTTCCTTTATTTCCGAGAGCATAGTCCATCGAGTGACTCTCCAAGAGAGCTTTGCCTTAGGGGACTTACTAGCTGGAAACAGAGACTGAGGGGCTCGGGTCTCAAGTCATCACACTTCCTAGTAGTGGGTAGTTGGGGGGAGTCTAGCCATCCAATCACATGGTCCTCCGAATGTGAATCTCCAAGCATGGCTGAGGCCTTCCAAGCCATTTCAGCCTAATCTTCCCTCTCCTTCCCCCATCCTGGCTTAAGAGTCGTGTACTTGGCATAGTAGTAGAGGAAGGCGCGAGGGGACAGCGAGAGGGAAACGTAGGACTCCAGTTGGTCTGGACTACTGACAGGCCACTGGGTTAAGGAAGGGGAAGTAGAGGATGGGTGCTTCTGGGGTTCTCCAGGGAACCCAGATAGTCTCCTTTTCCCAAGGCACTGAAAGAGGAAAAGGCCAAAGGGCTGGGGAGGAGAGACCAGGAAGTCAGACATTGCTGATGCGCACACTAAGGGCACTGTCTTCCTTTTCAGCCTGCTCTCTTAATGATTCTTCCAACTTGAGCTTTTCTGGGTCTCCGTAGCGGACAGTGCTATCACGGAGACCACCAGGGGGAGCCACTTTCACAACCTGGTCAAAAAGGCTAAAGTCAGCGACGTATTTGCCACTGGCTGACAGCGAGATAGCGGGCGTGAACTCATAGCCCCAGAGGATCTCCTCCGGCAGGTAGGAAGTGCGAACTTGACAGGTGGCGCTGGTGGACTCCACTGTCCCACTGAGGATCAGCACCAGCTCAAAGTCCCCCTCCCCACTGCGGAGGGGGAGATCTTTCAAGGGACTTGTCTCGTCCACCACGTGGTAGAAGGTCAGGGGTAGAATGAGAAAGGGGCTGTCCGAGGCCGTGTCCACTTGGAAAGTCACGTTGACCTGGTTGAGCCGAATATTCTCACCCTCCTTTGTCTGGTGGGTCTGAAGCAGTTTGCCCGTCACCTGGCATCCAATGAGGAGACTCTTCCGCATATTGGCAACTCGGATCATTAGGCAAGGCTTCCCGTTATGGGAGGCGACCACGGCGTGCTGGCTGAAACGGATGGTCTCGGCCCTCTTCTTGGGCCGGGCGATCTTTGCCAGGAAGGTACCTGTGATGAAGATTTCAAGAATGGTGGTGAGCACCAGCTGGGCAATAAGAAGCACGATGGCCAGAGGGCACTCCTCACTGATGTAGCGGAAGCCGTAGCCAATGGTGGTCTGGGACTCGAGGGAGAAGAGGAAGGCCCCAGTGAGTGTGTGCACCTGCACCACACAAGGGGTGTGGTTGGCAGGGGGTCCCAGCTCCAACAGGTCCCCATGGGCCACGGCCACCAGATACCACACCACGCCAAAGAGGAACCAGGTGCCTGCAAAGGTCGCGGAGAAGAGAAGAAGCTTGTAGCGCCACTGCATGTCAATGAAGGTCGTCCATAGGTCCTTGAGGTAGAGGAAACGCTTGTCCGCAATATGCTCCATCCTCACGTTGCTGCGGCCGTCTTTCGTCAGGACCCTCCTCCGACGTATCCCTGGGGCCACGAGGGGCCGGCTTTCTGTCTGAGTCGTCTGACTGTAGTAGACCTTGGCGACTGATGTCATCTGCAGGGAGCAGGACAACATCAAGGAGGTTATTGCCCAAACCCCGCCAACTCCTAGACGCCACCCAATGGGAGGAGGCTCTAACTAAGATTTCCTTTTTAAATCCCTTATATTTCTTTATGGGGGGCGGGGGGGGGGCTGGAATGCTTAAGTATCACGCCCCGAGGACAATTTGCAGGATTTGTTTCCTCCCACCACGTGGGCCCTGGGCATTGAACTTCAGTGGCAAATGCCTTTACTTGCTGAGTCAGAGCCATCTTGTCAGCAGCCCCTAACCTTTCGTTTGGATGCCATTTACCCTAGCAAATATTTGCCGAGCACTTGTTACATGCCAGGTACTGATAGGTCAAAGGTGAAAATGACATCATTCTTGCTAAGAGCTCACAGCTTAGCGAGGACCTGAGTTAAACACATCATTGCAATACAGTGTAATAATGTTTGTGATCTGAGGAAGAAGGTGAGACAGAGAAGGAAGCATAGGAAGTGCACAGGTCTCTGAGAGTAGTGATGAGAGCGCTACAGATCTCCACACACACACACACACACACACACACACACACACACACACACACGCATGCGCGCGCGCGCGCGCACACACACACACACACACACACACACACACCACTGCTGTGGAGATACCTAATTCAAAGTAAAACTCCTCCCTGCCGATGAATACCAAGGCAAGAAAACCTATTCCACTGAAGTCCTTCTAGGACAGTCCTACTTAAGATGGCTTAAGATACACGTATACCTTTAATTTCGCTATTCTCTCTCCCAGCCCCGAGGTAATAACCACGGGTGAGAAAAGAGCAGAAGGCATCCATTCTTCTACTGCTCAAGCACCCAGTCTCCTTCATTTGCCGCCATTATCACCACCATTTGTTTGCACTACCTGGGAGAAGTTAAGTCTGAGTCAGGGTCTCGCTTGGTGTTAGGAAGAGCATAGAGACGATCTCAGCAAAGACTAAAAGCAGGAAGGAAGCAACCAGCTGAAGCTTCCTGTCAGCACCCAGACATCCCCCCACAGGTTCGCAGTGATGCCAGATTGTAGGCAGCAAAACTGTCTTGGCTGCGTGAGGTGCAGGTGGACTCCATATTAGTTAGAGTCTGCAGGAGCTCAAATTCAAGATTGCTATTCGTCCTGACAGTAGAAAGTGGGACAAGGCGCTGAAACAGGAGACAGTTCACTTAATACAAGGTGTCTGGCATCCCTGCCCAAAAAGTAACTTTGTACTTTTCCAGTAGAGAAGATTTTAATCACTTAGACTCTGAGTCCGACATCTGGAACTCCTGAGAAGGAGGAAGATGATTTCTGGGATTTGGGGTTCTTTGGAGATCAGAGCAGCCATTGTATTCCCAGCCCGTATGTCTGAACCATTGCGTTTCATCATTGCTCTTTATCACAGTCGCGCATTTTCCCCATTCCTTTGCCTCTGGAAGAGTCTAAGTTATATGGTCCTGTCCATGTACTCCTACCCACATGGGCACTGAAAAGGAGATCACCAATGGATGAGGGTCCTGAGAACGTCCAGAGGCAGCCAGTGTGCCCATTTTACCAGCCTGGAGACCATTTGAAACTCCTATCCATGGGAGACTGCTACTCAGCTAGACCCCAGTGCTCTTCACTGCCTATGGCTTTGGTTCCTTTGAAGCAAAAAGGAAGCTCTCTAACTCTGAATAATTCCTATTTAGAACTTAAATAAAGCCCTGCTTAATGCTCCAAAGTGCTAATAATAACAACCACCTACCACAATCCACATATATAGGTGTGCGTGTATGTATACATATATACCATTGTAGAGTCTGCACATAAGAATGTTTGATCATCAAACTCTTAAGGATGTGAAACCTGTACATGAGATTTTTAAGGACTGTTGGGGAACAAACTAATTGCACAGTTAAATATGAAAGAATATAATTTTAATTTTCAAAAATAAAAGTGAGGGGTTGGAGAGATGGCTCAGCGATTAAAAGCATTGGCTGCTCCCTCAGAGGCCCTAAGTTCAATTCCCAACAACCACATCGTGGCTCCCAACAATCTCTAATGGGATCTGATGCCCTCTTCTGTCATGCAGGCATACATGCAGATAGAGCACTCATATGCATAAATGAATAAATCTTTAAAAATAAATAAAATAAAAATGAAACATATTTCATAAGCTATAGAGAAATGGGCGATACTGATCCTAGAAAAGATTCTCAAATAAAATACAAGGGTTATGTGTAACTAGACAGAACAAGAAAACAGGAAGTTGTCAGTCAGACTCACTGTGGGTTTACGGGGAACAAGTCATATCAAAACAATTTAATTTCCTTCTATGATGAGGTTACTAAATCGGCAAATCAACAAAGTACAGATAATGTGTAACTTCAGCAAGTTTTGTTTTTTTTGTTTTTTTTTTTAACAAAATCTATCGTTATACCTTTGGGGATAAGATAGAGAAAATGACCAGAAGGATAATGTAATGAAGTGGTTTTCAAACGTCAGTGGTATTGGTAAGTAGAGCCCCATAGCCTAGAATTCATTTCCTATTGATGGAGCTAAGAGATTTATCCTTGATCTTGCCCTATTCAATGTTCTTGACACTAATTTCATTCAAAACTAGAGAACATTGTGGCCATCAATTGTGTGGATGGCACAAACCTGGGACAGTGTACAAGGACTGGGCAGAATTGGGACCTAAAAAGAACCAGATGAGTGAGCCAAACCGAATGAAAAGGATAAATGTTGGATTATGCATTCGGGCCAAAAATTATCTGGGAAAGTTTAAGATTATGAAGATGTAATTTGGTCACGTTACCATGGGGGTAAAAAGAGAGATTTAAACATTTTAGCAAAAAAAAAAAAAAATCCAGTATGAGTTATTCATGCCAAAAAGCAATACAATCTTAAGCTAGTTTGGTTGAATGAAGTCTCTAGAATAAGGAGGTAATTGATTCCACTCTGCTTGGTTCATTCTGCATCTTCAGTATTCCATCTCAAGCAGCAATCAAGAGATGAAAAAGTCCGAGGCCAGGTCACATGCATGGGAAACGGTTAGAGGGAACAGGCGGATTTTGTCAAGAGAAGGGATGATCTGAAGAAAGAACAGATGTGTACAAAATACTTGGCTTGAGGGACCGTCACATGAATGAAAGGTCAGTTTAGTTTTCTGAGCTCCAAGAACCAACAGGACCAGTGAGTTCGAACTATAGGGAGGAAGATTCCAGAGTTATATTGGGGGGGGGGGGCAGACACCACTATAATCAGGATTGTCCAGATGTGAAGAGTCCCTGGAAATGTACAGAACATGCTGTCCGTGGATGTCCAAAGATAAGTTATACACTATTTTCAGAGCTCTCACAGAGGAGATGAACGTTCTCACTGGATCGCGAAAGAAAGATTAAACTTCCAGCTATACCTATGCTGAATAAGAATGCCGGCCTCCTCCTCTCCACCTCTACCCCTGAACTTTCTGTGGTTCAGGGATCTCTCATTTATGCCCTCGCTTTGTGTTAAGAGGAGGTGCCACATATCAGGAAGAATGGAGGCTCTCAAAAACCTAGCTTATCAGTCTCCAAACAACAGCCTATGGTTATTTGTTACTTTATAAAATATGTAATTTGATCCCCACACTGTAAGGTGGACAGGAAAGACATCATTAGAAAACTGAGGCTCAGAGAAAAATTACTCCAAGCAAATTAGAGGTAAAATGGGAAGCCAAACCCAGGTCTTCCGACTCCTGGGCCAAAACACCTGGTACCCTGACCTGAGGAGTTTTGCTGACACAGAGAAGACAGAGCCTGGAGCTTTGAAGGCAGGGTTGTAAGGCTGTAGACTCCAGGGCCCTAGAGACTTGGGCTACCCACTAGCTTTTCTTTGTGGCCTCTGGCTGTTTTGTTTGCCGCCTCCAACTGTGTGTCTAGGTCGCCAGCCCTTGTATCTGCCACCTCCAGCTGTGATCCGAAGTTCCCAGCTGTTATGCCACCTCCTACAGCCAAGCCACTTTGTTCTCAGGGGTGGCCAGACTGAGAAACAGATCAACAATCAGCAAGCTCCACCCCCAAGCTGGCCAGGGCTCTGGGGGAAAAGAAGCCAGCCAAAGTTCTGGAAGTGGTTTGCGGCTGCCCGACCAAAAAACATACATCCTGTTTCCTCTAGAGGGTGCGCTTTCTCCAACACAGTCACTGAACAGTGAGCCGATGGAATCCGGCTATCTGCCTCCTTTCTTCTATGAGAAGTGAGCTAATTCTTTCCCTTAAGCAAAGGTCAGTCCTGAGGACGGTGATGTCCATTCCTCCAGCAAACACTGAGGCCTATCTTTGGTTTCACACTGTCAGCTCCCCCTAGAGCTAGATTTCCTAACCTACAGGCACTTTTATTTTATGCCAGCCACGTATGCTTGCAGAGTGAATGGATTTATCACCGCCTTTCTCAAGTGCTTGAGACAAGACAGCTCTTGTGACTGAAATTGGCCAAGGTCCTCCATTGTTTTTAGGTTAAACTGCAAGCCTTTGGCATTGGCAGTCCAGGTGAGTTAGCCTCTGCTTACTCCTTCTTTCTTCTTTCTTTTATTGTTATTTGTTTGTTTGTTGAGACAGGGTTTCTCTGTATCGCCCTGGTTCTCTGTATCGTCCTGGAACTCTCTCTATATAGACCAGGCTGGCCTTGAAGAGATCTGCCTGCCTCTGCCTCCAGAGTGCTGGAACTAAAGCCACCACACCTGGCTTCTCCTCACTTCTTGGCCTTACCCTTGACAGCCTTCTCCACATCCTTAGACTTCAGCTCTACAGAAAAACCCCATGGTCTGATTCTTTCCACCTTTGGATCTGCTTTTGTACTGCTCAGCTCCCGCTTGCCTTTCAAAGCCTGGACCAAGTGTTTAGTGATGCCTTTGGAAGCCTTCCTGACCCTCAGAGGAATAGTGTTTCTCCATGTCCCTACCCCTGCGTCACCCTGACACGAGTTTTCTAAGCATGCTCTTGCCTGACCTCCACTTTATAATACCACAGTGCTTTGC